CATTAATGGGGTCACAGGGGCACTAAGGGGGTCACACTTGCCACTTTAACAGCAGGGATTTAGGTGCATCTAAGGGTTGAATGATACCCCAACTCCTGCATCTTTTTAGCAGGAACAAACTCGCGGTGACGAGACAAAAGACTCACTCTCTCTTAATTTTGCTTTCCATACGGTCGCATCAGACTCCAGCTCAACCAAAGACAAGGTGAAGTCGTCAGGTTTCTCCAAATAGACCTCAATGTAGCTTTTTAGTTTCAAGAGAGATCCATCAACAAATTCAATTTCCTAGACAGAAAGATGTTAAAAATAAATATTTATCCAAAATATGAACTGAAGAGGAGGTCTTTGGCTACTGGCACAGATTTGAGCCCAACTCCAGTCTCCCCGGATTTTTGCTGCTGACTTTAGTGTCAAGATTTCACCCCAAAATTTCAGGGCTCTAAGAGGCAAATGCTTTCTGCAGTGATGGCAAATAAATATGAAAACTGCCCTTAATGCCAGTACAGGAACATACAGGTAAAGCCATTTCGTACCAGGCTTCTAAGGAAGCTGCAACGCACAAAGTGTGGGTTGTGTAAGGGACTTACCTCTGGAGTTATTTCAGCTTCTGGTTCACAAACTAATCTATACCTCTTTCCATTCTGTAGTAATTTTTGGCATACAGGGGGCTTATCGATTTTAATGAATTTCTTATTTGAATTTTTTACAGCTCTTGAGATATCCTAAAAATTTAAAAAAAAAAAGGTTGTAAATAAATATAACTACAAATAAAAATAAAGGTTACCTGCCATAGTAAAGGAATTGACATTTAAAACCCATGCTAATGGGCTTTTCTCTGCCCCCAGCACTCTGAAATGGCTGTGACCTGTTTGAGGAGGCAAACTTTACTGAAAGCTATGCGCTAAACACCATCCTCAACAAACACCAAATAAACTTCTGCAGCTATTTTGCTACATGGGTGAAATTCAAAAGAAGAGGTCTGCAACCTGAAGAAAAGGAAGGTCATGAGTTGCTGTCCTCTCCTAGTGTTGGCCCTCATACTGAGGTGGGGGTGAGAGGACAAGGAGTCCTTCAGGTATAAATCCTGAGCTCCACAGATTTGGGTGGCAAACAGGCTTCTGATGCTTTGCTTTTCTATAACAGACGGGCCAGAACAACTGCTTAAGTATCATAGCCTAACTTGGCAGATGTTTTTGGGATGGAAGTATATATGTATATATATCCTGCATCTCAAATACTGTGGTCAGTTTTAGGCCTCTCAGTACAAGAGGGACATGAGGGGCTGGACCATGTCCTGAGAATGGGCAATGAAGCTGGGAAGGGTCTGAAGCACAAGAATTACAAGGAGCAACTGAGGGAACTGGGGGTGTTCAGCCTGGAGAAGAGGAGGCTGAGGGGAGACCTTATTGCCCTCTACAACTACCTGAAAGGAGGGTGTAGCAAGGGGAAGTGTCAGCCCCTTCTCCCAAATAACAAGCTATAGGACAAGAAGAAACGGCCTCAAGTTGTGCCGGGGGAGGGTTAGATTGGATATTAGGAAAAATTTCTTTACTGAAAGAGTGGTCAAGCATTGGAACAGGCTGTCCCGGGAAGTGCTGGAGTCAGGTGTTCAAAAAACGTGCACACTTAACACTTCAGGACATGGTTTAGTGAGCATGGTGGTGTTGGGTTGACGGTTGGATTTGATGATCTTAGAGGTCTTTTCCAACCTTAATGTTTCTATGACCGTATATATATACATATACACACACACAAAATTATTGCATGCAAACGCTGGGGTGACAGAAGAGCATCTCTTCACCATTCTCCATGTAGCAGCCCCATCACCAGCCCTGATGCTATTTCTATGTCATGCCACCCGACACAAGCCATACCTTTATAAAGGAGTCATTGTTTGTAGCCACGTAGACCCGAAAGGATAAGGAGGGATGCTCGTCAACGACTTTGTAGAGGATGACAGCACCGTGGAACTGCACTGGCTCCTGGCTCTGGAGGAGGGGTCCCACTGGTGAGAGCGAGCTCACCAGCCACTTCACGTGCGAGGCCGAGTAGGCGGCGGAGGGCTCGATGGCTGCGCCCTTGCCTTTGATGTGCAAAACCTTGAAGGCCATTCCAGCACCATGATCTGTGGGGACACAGGGCTGGCTCAGCACCTCCTGCACTGGGGAGCCAGCAGCCTCCCGTGCCCACTAGGCCAGTGGCCAGCACTCACCGCCAAGGCAGAGGGAGTGTGGAAACTGGATGGAGCTGAGAGCAGAGGCCGAGTCACAGTGCACATCGAAGAGGGGACCGCCCACGATCCATGGCTTTTTCACGAGGTTGGCGTATTTGCTCCAGGATAAGAGGGAATATATGATTTTGACAGCCCCCGTTACTTCAAAAATCAAGCCTGTGAGGCTGCACTGGTAAGTGCCCTCTGCATCCAGCCGTACCCTGCCATGGGCAAGAGTAATCCAGTTAGTTTAGTTTCCACAGACTAGTAAATACCATAACAATGTGGTTTGCATGGGATAACAGAGAAACTCCCTTCCCAACAAGCACAGAGCACTTTATCTGAATAGCACAGAACCCACAACATTTTTTTTCTCCATCCTTTATGTTTAAACTGTCACTGGAGTGGTAAAAACTGGCTAGGAAGACCCAGCCAGTGCATGCAAAATAGCTGTAATGAACATTTTGCATAACGCTTCCTGCAAATGAAGCAGCTGCTTTGACATGAAGGACTAAGCCCGGCTCCCGTCCGCATCGGAGCCAAAATTGTGCACTGACAACACCAACATTACACATTGATGACAACTTCCAAGCCAGAGAGAGGGAAAACAAAGCATGGGCAGCTGCTCTGAATTGTGTATTTTTAAGGATTTGGGGGCATCTTCCAGTGTAACTGCAAATGTATTTGAGCAGCAAATTAGTCTTTTTCCCACTTAAACCAAAGAGGGAAGTATTTTGATGAAAACAATGCGAATGCATACTCATATATATATTAAAAAAATACATACACATATTGTCCTCCAGAAAGTCTCCTAGGGGTCACTTGCTCATTCTGGTCCTATAAACAGATATTTTAAAAAGACATCGAGAAAGGTGATGAGAGAGTAGAATTACTATTTTCAAATTATCTCATGCAAAATATGTGGGTTGTTTTCTCTTCTAAACATACATTTTCATTTCTGCAGTGCTCACAGGGCAGCAGACAGTTCAGTCCTAGTGAGGAAACAGGAAGATCAGCTTGTTAAAAGCAAAGTACTTAAACACTCCGGGTGGGGGGGGAAGTCTCAAGAGATCCGTTACTACCTGATTCATTGCAGCACGGTAGCGATTCCTTCTCCTCCTGTTCTTCATCTACAAAAAGAAGTTTGCAGCAAATCTCTCAGCCTCCAGTGGGTTTCTGCTCCCATATTCAGCAGGGATAACCCACCAATTTAATGTGCTTACGTTCACAAAAATGTAAGGACAATATTCCTAAGACTAATTTCTCGCGCGCCCACTCGCACACCTGCATGCGCAGGCTTGATGCGGCACTGGGATGAAGCTGAGTGTCAGGATACAACTTGTGTCAAAAGCTGGTAACTCGCCCAAACAACTGCAAATTTTCCACGAAGGTTAAAAAAAAAATTAAAACATTCATCCCCAGGATGAGCTGTGTGGCACCAAGTACACAGTTCAACCCCCTGGCTCCTGCTTCCCATGCTACCAACACACCCCAGCAAGCAGGGACTTTCGGCTGTCCCAGAGTTATCCTGGGTCATTGCCACTCTCCCAGGTGGGCAGATGTGGGAGAGGCAGAAAAGATAGCGCTGCAGCAAACAGTCTGGCAAACATCAAGCAAACACCCGCCGCCAAGCTGGCTCCCTTCCCACAGCAATGCTACTTCAGTCCCCAAGCCGCGGGGGGGTCACAGGGACCTGAGGGCGAGGAGGGTGCCTCTGCTCCAACCTCCATCTCCCTGTGCCTGGCTTCATTTGCAAAGGGGGGCAGCAAGCGCACCCCATGTGCTCCCCATTCCTGGGTACACTCTCTGGCAAGTCATTTTACCAGAAGTCCCTAAATTGCACTCCTGCCATCGTGTATCATGACTCTCATGCATCCCTTATCCGTGCTGGCTTCCTCCTGCCTTGCACAGCAGATATAAAAAATAAAAGTGCACTCACCCGACCTTCTTCCATCCGACTCCTCCGCATCTGATGAGAAAAAGCTTTATTTCACTAAAAACTATCAATCTTGCATGAAAGCAGAATAAACTGCTGGTGGTATAACTCGTGGAAGCACAAACCCACAAGCTTTTCATCAGAAGTAAAGGCTTCCTTTAATTCTTTTCCTGTCCATCCTGTTTTGCCACTTTTGCTGCCAACTTTTCAGCAGATTTATAGCCTCTTGGTGTTTGGATAACTGCTGTGGTGTAAAAACATCCGCATGTATTGTGTCTGCGAGGCTAAAGAAACATGAGCTGTTGCTCCTCTATTATTGCTCAAAACATTCTGCTTTTCAGCATGCAATCACTGAATTAAGTTTTATACAATAACCCTGGGACTACTCCCGTGAAAAGCAGCTGGCTTAAACGGAGTGGACATTTTCAAAAGGGAGAAAAGACGTAAGTGCCAAGGCAATGCTCACCTGACTCCTCCCCTGAGCTGCTGCTGGAGCTGTGTTCAGAGCTGTCCTCACCTTAACGAAACGACACCACATTAGTCACAGGTGGAATGAAAGAAAGCAATGCCGCAGGGAAGTAAAAAGATACAGGTAGAAATTTAAATACATCACATTGGTCAGCGAGTTACACAATGTAGCAGAGTAAGAAAAATTATCCAAGTGTCAAATCCCAGCATCAAAGGTGATGTAGGGGGCACCCACACCCTTCTGAAGGGTACATGTGATGTTTAAGATGCTTACTTTTAATGTTTTATACAACCCGAGACTATTTTGGAGCTTCACCCATGGCACATCTCAGTTAAATTTTAGTTTTCCATGATATGCATGAGGTGAGAGAAGCGTCAGTGGGAGGCGGTACATCCCACTAGTGATGCGACTCATGGGGATGCACCATTAGTGGCTTTAATAAAATATCTTTACAAATGTAAGTAGAAAAGAAACCAGTATTGCAAAGCAAGTAACATGAGGAGCTGCGGTTTTATGAGAGTGCCAGCCATGCCACCCCAGCTCACCTGCTGGGCGCTCCTCGGCCGAGCCCTCACTCTCCACACTGCCAGCCACCACTTCTGCAAGAGAAAAGCAGTCAGGGGAATATAAGCTTGGAAGAGATTTAACTCTATTCTTGGTGGTTTTGTACTAAGCAGGTCAGAGGAAAGGAATAAATTGCAAAGGAATATGAAATTTTAAAATCCGTGTAAAAAATCAAAACTCCGTTCCATTAAACTAAGGCATTACACTACGTTTTCAAAGTCAACAGTTGTAAAACTGTCATTTCCATTCCAAAGGCTGGGCACCTCTAATAACAAGCCCATTCAAAGCACTCTATTTCACATAAGTACTGTACCTTTTTCATCTGAAGAGAGGGACTCAGCTCCGCTGGAAGACAAAATGGGAAACCCATCAGCAGATCTGCCAGTCCTGCGCCGCGCCTCCTCACCAGCGGGCATTTCCCCCCTCCCTGCCCACTGGCTTTGTCCAGGGAATTGGAGGTTATAAATTAACTTAGGATGGGAGCTTGGTGATCAAAAAACATGACCCATGGCTCTCACCCTTGCCATGCCAGGGACGCCTGGCTCTGCTGTACCTTTCCCATTGGCACAAGCCCTCAGATCCTTGCCCCATTTGCAAAGCCACCATTGGTTTTGGCAGGAATCAAAAAAACCTCCTTCAGCAAAGCTCTGAGCTCAGATAAACACAGTGCCTCAGATGCAACGGATGACTCCAACACATCCCATCACCTATTTGTGGCCCGTAGCAAATTCAGCCTGATTTTCATTCTCCATTTGCTCTTGCAAAGAGGAAATGTGCTGGTTTTATCATTCACAGATAAAGGTCAGGTCTGGAAACCTTTCCATGGAGCACCACAGAGCCCCACATCATCCTTCCTGCAATAACCAACAAGGGAATCACCCTGGACGCAGTCACCATAAACCAGCAGGGGCCATCCAGCTCCTCATCACTCCAGTGGCACAAGAAAACATCCCAGTCCCTGTGCCCAGCCAGCCAGCATGGCAGCTGTACGCCACACAGGCAGGGAAGGAGCAAATACTCCCTCGCTTTTTGGAAACAGGTGAGGGATTTTAGTGCTGCCCCAGAGATGCTGAGGGACGCTGGCGATAGCGAAGTGCGGCAGAGCGGGGAGGCTGCACAGGGATGCTCCCATGCAGCCTGGAGCTGTAGGAGTTTGTCAGTCGAGGGCAGGGAAAAACGGTGCTGCAGGCAGTTGGGATTACACAGCAGGGTTTGTGCTTCCAAACTGCAGCTTAAAAATAAACAAATAAATAACGAATAAATATATAAATAATGATAAATAAATAAATAAATGATAGTGTCAGCATAGTTTGGACAAAGCCTGGGTAAACACAAGAGTGACGCTTGTGCAACTCTCCAAGTGCTGGCTTGCTAAATAACGTTCGCCTACAGCAGGCTTTCCTCCAAAGCGTTGCG